GATTACATTTAATTGAATTAATGAATTATAGCATTCATTTGAATGAAACAGTATTTATACACACCTTCCAGAGCCAATCATAATCGAATATTCAGACACACCATGGTATAAACAACATTTGAAAAAAAATACATTACAACTTTGAATAAAACGTTCAAACGAGATACTGCTGGTGCTTGTTCCAACAAAGCTCACTTGACTGTTCTTGGTTGCATCCAAATTGCAGTCAGGGATGGTTTTGGAAAGCTGGACAATCCAATTGTTGATCTTGTCCCTCCGTCTGCGTTCCACTGAGGGCAGAAAATGAAAGCTTACATTAAGTTGGATCAGTCAGGGAATGGATTATGAGGTGGAGCTGCTGATTTCAAATGAAACAGAATAACCTTCATTGTGTTGAGCCCTCCGTTTGTCATCCCTGGAAACGCGCTGTGTTCCCGACTTACTGTAAAGGAGGATATAGGATTGGTTGAAGAAGTTGAAAAAAAAAAAAACAGTGATTGGACATGTGGTTTAATGTAGGCTATGTGATATGAGATGACGACCTCTGCTGTGTTGTGGCTAGAACATCTTGAGGTGACATCATTACATAGAGTTGACCTGCAAGAAAAGGAAGAAAGGTAAATGAATCTATATATTGATGATTTTATGCATACAATATAATATACAATATATAATTGACATACAATATAATTAAAAGTTGGTAACTTTCAACTTTTAGCTGTATATAATGTAGAACATCCATATACTTTTCTGCAAAAAAATAACATTATATATGCTACCATTCAAATGTTTTGGGTTGGTAAGATTTATTTAAGATGTTTTTGAAAGAAGTATTTATCAAATAAATATAGTTAAAACAGTAATATTGTGAAATATAATTACAATTTTAAATATTTTGAACTATTTAAAAAATACATTTATTTCTGACTTGGCAACACTGAATTTTCAGCATCATTACTCCAGTCTCACATGATCCTAATATGTGACACTGGATCACAAAACCAGTCACAAGTAGCATGGGTATATTTGTGGCAATAGCCAAGAATACATTGTATGGATCAAAATTATCTATTTTTCTTTTAAGCCAAAAATTATTAGGATATTAAGTAAAGATCCTATTCCATGAATTTGTTTTGTAAATTTCCTGCCATAAATATATAAAACATTTGAAGAGTTCAGATGCAAAAGCCTCTAAGTGCCATTTTAAATGTTCTTCTAAAATGATCATTTTTATCAAGCTTGTATATTTAAGTTCAGTAATTTGACTTAAATGGCAATGAAGATGACCTATTAATTGTCATTTAAGTGAAATTACTGAACTTAAATATACATGCTTGATAAAAATGGTCATTTTAGAAGAAAATTTCAAATGGCATTTAGAGGCTTTTGCATCTGAACTCTTCATTTATTTTTGAATGCAGCACAATCGCAAACGTAAATGGACAATTTTAAAGGCGATTTTCTCAATGTTTCGATTTTTCTACACCCTCAGATTCAAATAGTTGTATCTCGCTCAAATATTGCCCTATCCTCCAGACTGATCTCATGAAATGGCGCAAGTATGACAAGCCAATTCGTATTTCCATTTTTGGCGTGCTATCATAACGCATAATCGCTTTTCAGCGTGTTTATGAACGCCGTTGACTAAACGTTACATTGCTGTATATATATATATATATACTGTATATATACATGTTATATATATATATATATATATGTTATATTTGTTATATATGTATAAATGGTTAATACCATTTATGAGTCTCCCCCACCATCCTAGGAAAAAAAAAAAATATCGCTTCCCAGATGTAGATCTACATTTTGCTTCGTTTCGCTCAGACATTTACCGGCGTGTACATACATGCGGAATCACTCAGAGATTTAACGGTGTAGACATACACGCATACACGAGGATAGCTCAAAATGCGTATAGATAACACCCCACTTGACTTGAAAGTGGCATGTATGTTTACGCAAAAGTCATGATGTCATGTTGTATCCTAATGAACCACAAATCAATGGAAAGCTAATCTCAATTTCAAAAAATAGACCCATGTGACTGGTTTTGTGGTCCAGGGTCACATATCCTAATTTGCTGATCAATAAACAATTCTTATTTTTTAATCAGTAATATGTTAAAACAAAACATATGCCGCATAATACTTTGGTACTAAAAGGAAAAGCATTTATTTGAAAGAAGTATTTTGCAACAATATAAATATCTTTACTGTCAGTAATCAATTTAACGCATCCTTGCTGAAAAAAAGCATGCATTTCTTTCAACAACAACAAAAAAAAAGGTCACAAGTTTTGAACGGTAGTATAAAAGGAGTTTGGCATTACCTGTAGGGGTGGGCTGAGATAGTACCGAATCAGCTGTGTGGAGATTGGTTACCATGGTACCAGCAGATGTGTCAGAGATGGTGGCAGGATAGTAGTATTGAGTTTCAGACGTCTCCCCCTCTAGACTCTCAGACTGAGAGATTACAGCCTATAACCACATGCACACAAGCACTTACTAAAGCCGCTTTTCCATCTTCCACTTTTCCATCATTGGGCTACATGGATCTCAGAATGTTAAGGAGCAGCGCTGATCGAACTGGTAGAATGCGTGTAAGTGACGTTGCAACTCAGGATTGGTCTGGCTATTGCCTGGCTATCAATTTCTTTGTAGCTGGCTATTATCACACTATTCGAGTGGCATAAACAAATCAATATTAAAATTAAAAGAAATATCTGAACATCCTCCATAATGCGGTCGCCATGTACATCTAATATCGTCTGTTAACTCTTGCGTTACCAAGGCAAGCCCCACAATGAAAAATGAAACCATATACACACTGGCTGGACCGGATCAGCACAAAATGGAATGGTTAAGCAAAGAGAATGGTTTGGCCCGATGGTGGAAAAACGGCTTAGCACAACTACCTCTCTTATATATATATATGTTTTCAGCAACAAACTGAAATTTATATACCCGTTAAAAAAGTAATACCTGGGTTACAGGTGGTATTGCTGCCTGTGTTGCAGTTGGAAACCCAGTCACCACACTGACTGCAGCAGCTCCATCCGCCTGTCCTTCTACCTGCCCATCAGCCAAGTGGATTACCCGATAGGTTACCTGAACCAGGGAGGTCAAGGGGTTAATCATCACGTCTCAGTTTCTACATTTACTTGCATACATATGCCACTTACCTGACCCCCTGTTCCTTCCGTTTTGAAAAGATGATACTTAATTTGCTGATCTGTGGAAAATGCGGTAGCTGGCTGGATGGTTGTGATGGTCAGTGGGTCATCCACCGTTTCATCAACACCTGGTAAAGCAGCACGTAGAGGTTATTGTTTGGTGACCCTCTCTGTTTGGTCCAACAACTCCTAAAACAACTGTGTCAATTCCAATTGTTTTTGTTGTTGTCTTTGCAGTTGAGAGGTCAGATACTGGGGTTTTCAGTCTTGTTAGGGAAAATGTGAAGTTTGTTTCTAGAATTGCATATACATGTACTGTGGGGACTTTATTTAGCACTATATGGTGCAATACAGGCTGCAAGCTGTCACAACTAAACTGAAACTAAACACTGGCTGTTACCAAGCATTTTAGTATGCTGTTAATTTACATAGACACACTATGAACTAAATTGACAAAGGAACTTGTGGTACAGTTCAATTCAAACATCTCACCGTCCTGCAGCATGGGAGAACCTTCAGGATCATGACTTTTCTGTTCTCTAAAAAAAGGAAACAAAAGTTATATTTTAGATATAAATATTAAGAAAAGCTAATATTACAACACTGAAAAAATGTGTTCAAAACATAAATACAATAATCATATAATTATTACACTTATGGTCTGTCCTGTTTTTTTTTCATTGCATGCAATATAAACTTAAAAAAAATTGTGTACTGTGCTTTGTGACTCAAGATAAAAATGACACTGATAAAGATGTGACTCAAAGACACAGAAGATGAAACTCGCCTCATATTTGTGAGTGAATCGTGATCTGGGATTCAGCTTTGTGGTCCTCAAACGTAAACATCCACTGCAAAATCACAACAGATACCAACAGGAATAGAAAAGAACACATTTAATACATCGACTTTGCACTAATGCACTCGAGTAGATCCTGCTCTTAAAAATGTTCAAAAAGCAGGTGTGGCGCCGGCATGTTATGATTTTTTTTACGCCGCTACGTTAAGTCCCCAATCTGTTGAAAAACCGCCCGGAAAGCCATAAAAAGCTCACGTTGCTTACTGATAACCAACACGTTGTCCACCAGCTCTTTTTTTTAACTCATGTTATATTTATAAACACCACTAGAACTACATTCACGACTAATTTGGGAAACAAAACAAAAACTGAAAAAGCAGCATTTAGCATTTGAGCTAAGCAAACAAAGCAGCGTGAAAAACATGCCGTTAAAAAAAAGTTTCAGAATGATTCAAAACACATGACTCATAATAAGCCATATTATTACTTCACAAATATATAATATTCCTTAGTAACATTTAATAGTTAAGTTACCCGTTTATCCTGAGAAGTAAACGTCCAAGAGACATACCCTCTCTGCGCATGTGCATCAGTGGTTTAATTTAACTCTTAGTCACTAGAGGGCGCCATATACAACAGCGTCATCATTCCAAGTCATTACAATCATTCTGAGTTTATTAGGGCATGTTAATAAGACCAGAGTCATTTTACTTCTTGCAACTTTATTGACTTTATGCACAGCTGCACTACTTCCTGAACTTAAGCCAGCTCCTTGTTTCCTGTCTGCCATTATTGGCCAAACTTGTTTAATTCAGGTGTGTCTGATTTTTGTTGCCGTGACTACTGAGGTCAGGCACACCTGAATTAATTAATTTGGCCAATAATGGCAGACAGGAAACAATGAGCTGGCTGAAGTTTAGGAAGTAGTGAAGCTGTGCATAAAGCCAATTAGGGCATGACCATTCACAAAATCAACAAACGTGCTAAAAACCTCAAACTTTCACCACACCAAACATAAGTTTCCAGTCAGAGTACACATTTTATTTTAGAATTTATTATACTCCTGCCAAACAGTGGGTTCACTTGACAACTTTATAAAGATTCAAAGTACACGATTTTACATGGTATTTAAGGGACATTCATCACAGAACAGTGTTTTTGACATCAGCATCAACCAAACCAATGCATACATGCCATGATTAAAAAAACAAAAGCACTCAATTTCTATACACCCTGATTTCTGATAAACATTAACAAGGTAGCCTATTTGTTGCATAGTGTAGTACAAGCTAGATTTATATTTGGAGTCATAGTAGAGAGATCCATTTTATACTCAAAGAAGTTCTGACAAGAGTGGGAAAGTGAGGAAAGCTAGCAGGAGTGCTGCTCCACTGTGCTGCACAACACACCAGGCAGAACAGGTCTGAAGCTTACCTGGAAGAAAAAAACAGAAAGAGCAGCAGCATGATCAACATTAGTCAGTCATTGGATCAGTGGAATATTTCTAAATAAAAGTACACAGAAAAGACTAACACATGCTTCCTTGACAATTACAAGCAATTAATTTCATAATCATTTACCAATGCAGATGAAAAAGCAGCTTAAATAATATTGACTGTTATTTTCTTTAAAACATCTTACTCTTCTCCACAGTTGCATTGATTGTCACTGTTGCGGAATTCTGTGTGATGAAACAAGAGAAGTTTGTGGTTTTGTCAGCTGCGAAACCCGTCAAATACAGATCACATGTGGTATCGGAAATGGAGACAGTGGCACGGTTCTTGAAGGTGGGGTCAGGTGTGCTGCTGCTGCTGTTGCTATTGCCAATCATCTTGTCATCAGTCATGTAGTAGCATGTCTTAGGGAGCTTATTGGGGTCTGTATCTCGAATAAACTTGCAGGACATCTTCAGGTTTTGGTCCTTAGTCAAGCAGGATGAAATCTGAAGAGGAGTCTGGCCAGAAACAACACCTAGAAAAAAAAACAAAAAAAAACTACTTAGCCAAAGTTTGAGTCGAAACTGGTACAAGACAGACCTGTGCATTTAATAGGATCAGATAACATTTAAGATAACAATACTTAATATGCAAATAGCTTTGGTGTAACTTCAGCAAAATAAAACAAAAAAGGAACAATACAGGTTCCTTTTTCTTTTGTATGAGCGCAAGATGAGGGTCAATTTACCCAACAGGAAAAAAGTGGCAAATGCAGTACAGCACATCATCCTGACCACAGTACACATCTGCATATGCACACACAAAAGAACCTGAGGAACAAACACATGACAAGTCACTCACAACACAAGGTAATACTACCTCAGTAGTGTATGCTATTTGTAGCATGCATGCTTAAAACATGAACATTGATAACTTTTCAGGAGTGCAAGTGTTCACCTATGCCATCTAATTTTTATGAGCATGAGGCTCAGGGAGTGGGGGGATCTGTTCCTGCCAATAAGTTCATTAAAAAAAAATGCCACCGCAGAGAATGTATATGGGTGGGGTCATGACATTTGGGATCACATTCATTTCAAACAAGCATAAAAAGTATTATTTTAACAAAAGTAAACATATGGGCTACTACAGATCGGTCAGAAACCACTCAGAGACTGATGTGAAGAACTTTCTACAAGGCATCTCTTATCTTATGCAAGACTGAACTCGTGAAGAATCTTTTGAAAGGGCATGTCGCAAAGACATTCTTCAACGAGAATTCAGCTCGTGCTTCTGGAAAAAAAGTTTGGTTTTTATAGTAACGTGGCTTTTGTCGCCATTTAATGCGATAACTTGTTTTCCCCCAAACTTAATTACACTTTCACGACGCAGACACAGAAGTCAAGGTAACACACCCAGTCCCATTTTATATCTGGGTGGCGTTGAGGATTAATGGGGACCAGACACGCACAAATTATACGTTTCTAGGGGCGTCTTTAATATAATCTAGTGGGGTGCAAATTAATTTGTTGCGGTTCTTACCTTATTGTTTCTGTTTTCGGATGCTGAAGCTGTTGGTCCGTTATCGAGACAACTCCCTCAGTGAACGATGAAGACAGAGTGATACAGTAAGGTTGAGTAAGGGCGGATGCACGCCCATATATATATCAAGCTGTGTCATTAAACCACGACCGACCTCCCCATTATGACCAGCTGAAACTTGTGTACAATTTGTTGTTTAAGAAATTAACAAGATAGAGTTTGTATTTAACCGGACAAATTCATGTAACTAAAGTTGGCAACATTGTAAACAATTAAAAGATACATACTTGTTGAGGTCGCCACGCCCTTTAAAGTTGCTTATTTTATTGTGTACTATACACACACACACACACACACACACACACACACACACATTGGTCAAGCCTTTCTCTCGAGAATATGTTAATAAAGGAGTCTTTAGAGTTCTGGCAAGAACTTACGGGCTCCATTTTGTATGTTCAGAGAACTTTTGAAAAGGTGCCTAGTTTCCACAGGGTTCTGCCACTGTGGTAGGCTAGTCTGAGTTTCTGCCTCAAATGTCTGTTCATGTTAACAGGGTTCCAGCGGATCCTTAAAAAGTCTTAGCCTAAATTAGATTATTTTTTTTTAAATGTAAGACCATAAAAAGTCTTATTTTACTTATGAAAGGTCTTACATTGTAGATGACACTCTGACTTAGACGCATAAATGCTTTCCAAATTAGCGTAGGCTTTCATCTGACATATTCATAAAAGGTGATGCATACCTCTAAATAAGTTTTGAAAAAAAAAAATCATTAATTGGTGAAAATGCCCCTGGAAATCAATTTAAGGTTGCAAATATTGTCCCTTAATAAAAAATGTGAATTTCTGTCACTACTGTGAACTGACCACCGCATAGAATAAGACAAATATGAATATCTTTGTGAGTCTGCTGTCAACAACAGGCCTAAACCAGCCATGGTACAGTACAAAAACACAATCAGTAAAATATCATGTAATTATCAACAAAACTTTGAAAATATAGAGATATATGTGTGTAGATATGTGTGCACCCCTAATGTAATGTATTCATTTTGATTTCTTCATATCTTATTTAAATTTGACTTTAAAAAGTGTGCAGCAACCCTGTAACTGTAAAAATTCTAATTCAACCTAAATCCTAAAGCTCTAAAGAATCGTTTCTCACCAGTGACAGACAAACGTCACCAGTGTGAAGTAAAGACACATTGTTAAAATATAGTGGCTAAAGCATTATTTTAAAACATTTAAATACATTAATATGCCTATATGTGATAACATAACTTAAGAACTTTCTGTGCATATCTGGAACTGATTTAAATAATTTATTATAAAATAAAATACATACAATTTACTGACAATATCATGCAAAGATTACAGTTATTTATTGGTGGACAGTAATTTAAGGTCATTTGCATCATATTAGGTTATATTATATTATTTTGCCACTCCACACATATTTAATCTCCTAAATTCTAATTCATCTCCCACAATGTATTTAAACAGTAAGAGAAAAAAATATGCTTAAATTTTTGAAATGCTTTTTCATTTTTTTTATCAACCACTGAATTATGTGATGTGACCTCAGTGTCACTGGTGGTTATGGCCCTGTACTGTTTTCTGCAAAGTTGATTTGACAGCATTATATTTATTATGAAAAAAGCTATAAATATATATCTATTATTTTTATAATATAAATATTTTCCAGATAATATTTGGTTCAGAACAAGGAAAAATAAAGCCCAATTATTTAATTTTGGAAACAAGGACCTGTTTTTTTACAGACAGGTCTTAAATTAAGCCAGGATTAGGCCTTATAGTTAAATTAGGACATTTAAGTAGCTTTTATAAACGTGTCTTAGAAAAAAAAATAATAATCTTGAGAAAAAACTATGGCACATACATGTTTTAAGATCAGTGCAAGTTGCTTTCAGTTTAAACTTTTTACAGTTTTAGGCCTGATGGGAAACCAGGAGGAGTTGCTGTACATGTAATGTAATGCCGACTATTTGTAGTTGGGTGATAATATTTCGGGGTCCTCAGCATTTAAAGTTTGAAAACTGGTTTAAAATGGGTTTCTGATCTACAGCATCTTTGTTTCTTCCAAAATATTGTTCCATATCAGAATAATCGAAAGCGTTCATAACAAAAAAACAACACTTTTACAATAAAAAGATCTGCACAGGATACACTCTACATTCCTTTATTGTTTTCTGTGATATTTCTCAGTATAGATCCTTCAAAAAAAAATAAGACGACAGCATTGGATAGAGTGAAAGAAGGGAAGACAAAGGTTTTCATCACAAATATAAGTGCGTGAAATGTGCATTGCTTGATCATTTTGCAATGCAGCCATTATGGCCAAAATGAAACAGACAAAAGCACTACATTGCAAAAACTCAGATTATGCCTTAAGTCAACCTAAGGCACTTAAGGTTAGTGCAAGGAAGTATGTGCGAAAAGCAGCTAAAAAGCAAATTAAACGTGTGCATAAAGCAGCTGCGCATGTTAGCGCAAAGGAAGACATAATTACTTGTAAGAGTGCATCAAATGCTTATTCATAATCTTGATAGTCTCATTCTTATACACTTGTGTTCTGTACCAGGCCTTGAAACGTTACTGGAAATGTGTTTGTGTATACAGGATATTTAGTTGCATCATGTGAGTGCTGCAATATAATATGTCCACAGTGGTGATGTCCTTCAGACAGAGCTGTCCTTATACAGGTGATAAACAGAGGTGCGAAGACAATGAAAAAGTAGTTAACGCATTTTGCACTGGACAAATTGCAAGAATCGATTAACCAGCCAACTTATCAATGAATGAGATTGTAGTTTACTCTTACAATGATTTCACTCAATTGTTTCTATAAATATTACAAAAATGTCAGCAATAAAAAGTATATATTTTTGAGCTATATGACTTGACATAAAGGAAGCACATAATTTGATACTGTATAAAGGTCCTAGCCATGTATTAAAACAATAATAAATATTTCTTATAACAGAGAATCCTTTATGTGATACATATTTTGGATGCCTGATAAACTCAGGCTTCAGCATATACATTTTGATGCTGTTCTTCCTCTGAATTCAATGCCATTGACAAACATGCCACGATCAATTATACTAATCTTAGGACTGCCAACTCGATTCAATTGAGCCAATTATCATGCTCTCACCCCCGATTTCTCACGCTGAAGTGTCAACCCGGTCGGTCAAATGCCTATCTATCTGTTTTTGAGGCACTCGCGATCGACTAGTTTTACCGCAAATTAGTTATCCTGTTATCTTATCTAGAGCTCTTAACCGCGCACGACGGCAGAGAGGTAAGCGAGAGACCTCGTTTGTTTTTCTCAGTGAATCCTGATGATTCAGGATTCTAATGTTGGTGATCTCCACAGAAACTTTCAAAGGTTAAGCAAAAAAAAAAAAAAAAAGTTACAAAATTAAATGTTAAAATTAAAATGTGAAAGGCAGTTAAATGTGATGGCTCTGAGGTTTAGGTTGCTCAATGTAGGGCTGGTCATGCTGACAGAAACCCAAGAGAAACAGGAAGTGACATGACAAATGCAAGAATCCATGGTCCAGTGTGGAAAAATGTGCTTAATGCAGAGCACACCAGAAGATTTCCTGTTTGAAACAGAGAGACAGATAGTTAAGCAACAGAGCAATGATTTAAGAACACACAAATTATGAGAGCATAGATTGTGAAAGCTCCCAGATTTTGAAAGAACAAAATCTCACAAGCAGGGACAACACCTTTAATTTAAACGTCAACAGGCTTTGCATAATTCCCAGGTAATGTTGTCTTGCAGAATGTTAAGGGGGTCTTGTTGAGACATGTTTAAACTCACTTTGATGGAATGCCATGCTGTTCTCCTTCCAGGTGCTGCCCTGATAAACCCTGCAGGTGTAGGTGTACGCCCGGTCATCGGACATAGGCATCCAGGTGAGGCGACAAATGTTAGGTGGCACCAGGGAGACATTGGCTCGGCGTCGGGTCTCAATATTTGGGATCAGGTGGACCGGGTTGTTTGGGTTGGTTGATCCCATGAGTCGCCCATCCTGTTTGAATTCGCAGAATGGCCCGGGGATCTTCTGGGTCTCTGGGAATTCACAGTCAACTCGGAGGTTCCTCTCTATATAGGTAAGGCAGGAGAACATCTGTGGCCCTCGAGGGGTGTTCCAAAACCAGGAATCAAAATCAAAGAACCCAGGTCTCTGGTATGGGTCTGTTGCTGTGACCACACCCATCATACACAATAGACATGCTACAGGGAGAAAAGCACAAACGCTTTAAAATGAGAAAATGTTATTGTTCATGTTCATGGAGCAGTTGACCTTTTCAAAAATAAGATGAGCATTTTGATGTTTTAACCCCTTGAGTTGCACCGGCCCACCTTAGCTATTACATATTTAAAACAGTACTAAACCTAAACTAATATTGACAAACTATATATCATTTGAAAGCTTACAAACCTTTTTTCCACCTTAGAAACATTGCTAAGCTACGTAACATGCTATCTGTTTCTGATGCTGAAAAATTAGTTCATGCATTCATGACCTCGAGACTAGATTACTGTAATGCTTTATTAGCCGGTTGTCCTACATCCTCAATAAACAAGCTACAGTTAGTACAAAATGCAGCTGCTAGAGTTCTTACTAGGTCAAGAAAATATGATCATATAACACCGATTTTATCATCTCTACACTGGTTACCTAAGTTCCGCATCAACTACAAAATACTACTACTGACCTATAAAGCCCTAAATGGTTTAGCACCTATGTACTTAACGGACCTTCTTTCGCCCTACAATCCACCGCGTTCCTTAAGATCACTAAATTCAAGGCTTCTGGTCATTCCTAGGATATCGAAGTCCAGTAAAGGAGGGAGGGCGTTCTCGCATTTAGCTCCAAAACTCTGGAATGGCCTTCCCGATACGGTCCGAGGCTCTGACTCGCTGACACAGTTTAAAACTAGATTAAAGACGCTTCTCTTTAGTCAAGCATTCACATAATGCTTACCTTCTAGTCCTCTGTTATGCCATACGGAACCGTTTGCCACTGAAACTGCTTAACGCACCAGTGGGGCTCGACAGCCTTTTAGACAAACGGGTCGGCGCGTATGGTTGGGTTGCGGAGAGTTCAGGTTACGGAGAGTTTGTGAGTTATAACGGAAATCATTATGAACATCAGCTATGCTAATTATTTCCCATCTGCCTTTCTGCTGTTCTCTCGGGACGCTTGTCCCGAGAAAAATGGCGTTCGTCAGGTCCAGTTTTGTGTCCAGCCTCTCACGGGGATTTCGGATGCCCCAACGCCTGTGAAGAGACGACTCATCGCCTGCGATATGTTATGGCGCTGTTTGATTCATAAACAATATTTATATTTAATATTTATATTTAAACAATATGAATGTAAGCCAGAGGAGAACTGGCCCCCGACTGAGCCTGGGTTCTCCCAAGGTTTTTTCTCCATCCAATCTGATGGAGTTTGGTTCCTTGCCACTGTCGCCTTGCTTTTGGCTTGCTTTGAGCTTGCTCAGTTGGGGTTATTTAGTGTTTAGCAATGTTGTTGATCTGTGTTGTGCTACTTTCATGTTATCACTGTGAAGCTGCTTTGATACAATCTGTATTGTGAAAAGCGCTATATAAATAAATGTGACTTGACTTGACTTGACTTGACAAACTTAATCTGTAGTTTGCTTAAAGGGTTAGTTCACCCAAAAATGAAAATTCTGTCAGTATTTACTCACCCTCATGTTGTTCCAAACCTCTATGTCTTTATTTGTTCTGCTGAACACAAAGGAAGATATTTGGAACAATGTTTTAATCAAACAGATCTCATTCCCCATTGACTATCATAGTAGGAAAAAATACATAGGCTACTATGGTCAATGGGGAATGAGATCTGTTTGATTAAAACATTCTTCCAAATATCTTCCTTTGTGTTCAGCAGAACAAATAAAGACATAGAGGTTTGGAACAGCATGAGGGTGAGTAAACACTGACAGAATTTTCATTTTTGGGTGAACTAACCCTTTAATCTATCAATTTGCAACCAGAATATTTCCACACTCCTAAGGCGTGTTAAGACCTTTATTTTGAAATAATGATGAACATGAAAATCATCACCATTGAAAGAATGGTAGAAAAATGAAAGAATGGTAGAAACCTCAGTTTGTTTTCATGTCAATAGAGTGCCGAAGTGATGACGTCACTTTGTAGGACGACTCGGAAGCTAGCGGCGCATGGGTATCCTAGATCGAAAAGCTATGCATTTTCCTTTTGGAGAATCGCAAAAAATTAGATCTGTGTTCAACAAAGAGTTGTGACCCTTACACGTTTTGTCTATCTAGATAATCTTTACAAGTTAATCCAAAATTTGTAAATTCTGAAGCCTATATAAATAAAAAAAAAACACAATCAGACACAATAAAGTCTAAAAAACCACAAGCAGTTTATAACTGGTGTGTTTTATGTCATAGATCAAAACGTGAAAATATTTAGAGGCTTTGTTCACCACAGACCTTATTTCAGGCGATTTAGTAAAAACCCATTCAAAACTCCCATAGACTTTAGAACGAGGGAACCGGCAGTGCTAAAATGCTAACTCAATTCCGCATTTTGGCCTACACAGTGACGTGATAACTTTGGCACTCTATAGTTCAAAAGATAACATACAAAAACTTTTTTTTTTAGAAAAAAAAGGTCTGAAAATTACAGATTCACCATTTGTGATGTAGCAAACTATAACGCACATTGTTATTTTTGTGATTATTGAGGTTGACTTCATATCAAAATATGCTAAACTTCCATTACTACTTCTGAATAGGATGCCCACTTCATAAATTGTATGAAAATTGTGGAAATAATGGTTCAGATCACTCAAAACACAAATGGAAATGGACTTATATGGGCAGTAATGGAGTCTGGTTGTGACCTAGTGAAAAAGTCTGGTATACTGTGCCAAAACAAAATCTTGCTGAAAGCTCATTTTTTGAGATATCAACCTAATATTTTAAACACAACTTGTTCAGAGTTTTGGCTTTCATTTTCTTTCAGTTTTAGATTCCTCAGGTTTTGAAAAAAAAATAAAAAATAAAATATACTTTTTCATAAATTCAAACTTCTATAACTTTTGTTTCACTTTCTTTCTTTATTTATTTAAAAATCTGCCAAATGTCGTCTTTTAAACGACCAATCTTACAACTATATTCCAAAGCATTCTTAAATTACAACCATTTATGTTTGGATTGTGCATTTTCATGTTTATTCAAAAAAGGGGGCATGACACTTAAGAGGTTAATAGAATAATTTTCATATATTTCAGATATGTCTATAAGTCACAGCAGGTCCGGAAAAAACGAGAAGGGGATCTAATTCCAGCACTTTTATTTTTGAATAAAAACAAAGAATATAATCCACAACTAAGAAGATTAGAGGAAAACACGTGGCAGCATAGACCACAAAGGCAAAAACTGAACAAACTGAGGGCTACATGGAAAACACTACACAAAAAATGAGGAAACTAAACAGGTGTGACACATGAGGGAAATCTAAAACCGTGGTAACTAATGAACACAGACAAAGGAAAATTATCTTTAAATATAGTGCAAACCAACTAACAGGATGATAACTCACAAAATGAACTATCCCGGTGTGCCTGTTTTTTATGGACTTTTATGTTGAAGTGTTTTTGTGTTCCTTTCCTTCCTGTGGCCATGTTTGTAGTTTTGTAGTTTTCTCTGTTGATAAATATACTCACAGCGAAGTTCTTTTTCGAAACACGTGAGCAGCACTACTATTATCGAACATCTGAAGCTGTCCACTCTGAGAGCGGCATTTATTTGAATGTAAATATGTGTTGCATGTTTTCCTCTCAATAAAAAAATTACACAAAACAAAATTAAGAGAACAGCAATCATTTTTTTAGGAAACGCTTAAGAAAAGGATCTGGTCATACTATAGCAATGTGGATAGGCTGTGTTTGCACGAGCTCTGCAATTCAGCACTAGTAAAGTCATGTCATGTTTAAATAGCACTTTATATTGCTTAAAATCTAGCAGCTTTATATGCTTTACTTAAAACATGAAAAACAGTGTCAGTGTCTCGTTTCATCAGAAGTACAACTTCATTTTCTATAGAGCTCTCTTGTGTGTTCCTGTTTTCATTTACGGGTCACGTCTGATCGCAACAGACTTGTGAAGAGAAATGAACTGGATGAGATTTCCACGTGAAAGAAGGCAGAGCCTCCGCGCACACCTACATACGTAATCGCAACGGGCCAATGGGAGAACAAAGTTGTTTACCAGCTGGAGCAAACTTTTCGGGAAGTTCGCTTTGGCTGTTTTAGAACTCTCATTTTAGAACTCCTTTTGTGCGATGTCACATCAATTTGTTCTTTGATTTTGCTTGAAGTATATCGTGGGCTTTAGTCTCCCCAAGTGTGTATTTTCACTCGTTAAGCAGCTTGTTTGCCCCATGTACTGTTTAATGTGTTTCACTTGTTCTGTCAGTTGTTATATGTTTGTTGTTCCTCATGGTCTTTGTCTCCCAGACCAGTTTTATTTTGTTCCAGCTTTATGTTCATTATTGTTTGTTTGTTTGTTTGTTTGTTTGATTAAACTCCCCTGCACTGATCCTCATCTCTGCCTGCCTTCATTCATTCCCTCCTATGTTACAGACAGAGACACCAAACATAACCCTGAAATATGCAGGCTATAAATGCATTATGCTTTTATAAATGCTTTTACCATATACAGTGGAGACATAAAAATATTTTGAGCACAATTCAGAACCACACACTGACTGTGTTTTACGTGCAAAATATTTTTGGAGAAGCATATGCCAGTGAAATTGGACCTGGTTCATTTGCTCAGTATTGTACTGCACTCTCTGACCTTGGGATGTTTGGCTCAGGTATCTTGATTTCCTACTGCATGTTGATTTCACTTCTAAAGAAGAAATGGGTCCTAAATAGGGCTGTCAAATGATTAATCGCAATTAATCGCATTCAAAATAAAAGTTTGTGTTTACATAATATATGTGGGTGCACTGAGTGTAATTATTTTATATATATAAATACACTGTCATGAAGAGTCAGAAGCGTGCAGATCCATGTGCAGTTTATATTTATTAAGAATAGTCAGACAGGCAGAAGTCAATGATCGGCATACAATATAGAGCAGGTAATCCAGAGCATAAACAATACCAGGCAGAGGTCAGGACAGGCGGCAACAATCGTAATCCAGAAGAGACAGGCAAGGGTCGGGGCAGGCAGCAAACAGAGATACAAAGTCAAGGAACAGTCAAGGGTCGATAAACAGAGAATCCAGATAAACACAGGGAAACCGCTCAGAAATGTCGCCGGGGCAAAACAAGACTTCGCCCTGATTGAGAGTCAGAGAGCAGCTTATATGGAGGGGTAAATGAGGAACACCTGTGTTGGTGATTAGACCTAGGTACGGGGCATTATGGGAAATGGAGTTTGTGGGAACCCTAGTCTTATCTGGAGTGCCCTCTGGTGGATAAATAGGGCACTCCAGCTGGTAACCGTTACATAGCCCCCCCTTTAAGGAGCGGATTCCAGACGCTCCTTACAATGTCCAGGAGAGATGTGGAGGACCAGGCCCGTGGAGCGGAAGAGGACCTGGAGACTGTGGCGGAGCTGGCTGTGGAGGCGACCAGGTCGGAGCAGTCGAAGACCAGAGCGGCGCTGTCGGACCCTCGGGCTTCCAAGGCGAAGCAAAATGTGGGCATGGCCAGGGCAGAGCAGGCTGTGGACGTGACCAGGGCGGAGTTGTGGGACCCTCGGGCGTCCACGGCGGTGAAGACCCCTCAGGCGGCCACGGCGGTGAAGACCACTCAGGCGGCCACGGCGGTGAAGACCCCTCAGGCGGCCACGGCGGTGAAGACCCCTCAGGCGGCCACGGCGGTGAAGACCCCTCAGGCGGCCACGGCGGTGAAGACCCCTCAGGCGGCCACGGCGGTGAAGACCCCTCAGGCGGCCACGGCGGTGAAGACCCCTCAGGCGGCCACGGCGGTGAAGGACGAAATGAAGGCCATGTCTGTATCGCCTCCATGGCCCTCACAAGGTACCTACTGCCCCCCCCCAAAAAATACTTGGAGAAGTCCACAGGGAATTGAAGGGCACAGCTTGAACAGAGCTTGAAAGGCACAGGCAGAGCGAGGCGCAGAGGCGGGGCTGGTAGGGCGAGGCGCAGAGGCGGGGCCGGCAGGGCGAGGCGCAGAGGCGGGGCCGGCAGGGCGAGGCGCAGAGGCGGGGCCGGCAGGGCGAGGCGCAGAGGCGGGGCCGGCAGGGCGAGGCGCAGAGGCGGGGCCGGCAGGGCGAGGAGTCCTGGTAAGCTCACCGAAGCCTGGCGAACTGAACGAACCCTCCTTCTCCTCCTGCGGCGGCGTTTCACTTGAACTGAAGATTCAATCACATGAACTGAAGACTCATGATGACTCACTTGAACTGGAGCTTCATCACTCGCGAGGCTTGAGTGAAGTGCAGGCTCGGCAGGGCTGACGGTCTCGGACTGGACGGTCTCTGGCTGGACGGTCACTGGCTGGACGGTCTCTGGCTGGACGGTCTCTGGCTGGACGGTCACTGGCTGGACGGTCACTGGCTGGACGGTCACTGGCTGGACGGTCACTGGCTGGACGGTCTCTGGGAACGCCCCCTCGGCCTTCTCCTCAAAGCCCACAGTAAAAGATGATCCGCTCAACAGAAGAGCCAGGTCAATGTATTGCTCTAAAGTCCCGTGAGGATCATGCAAGCGCATGAACGAACTGAGCGGTTCAGATAGTCCTCCACGAAAAAAGATCATTAAGCATACCTCATCTAGGCAGGTCAGGTGAGCCAGCTCTAAAAAGTCAGCAACATAATTCTCAATGGAATGATCTCCTTGACGGAGACGCATAAGCTTGACTGCTGGATTCATGACGATGATGGCTGCTGGATCTTGTGTCGGCGAAGTCTTCTGTCATGAAGAGTCAGAAGCGTGCAGATCCATGTGCAGTTTATATTTATTAAGAATAGTCAGACAGGCAGAAGTCAATGATCGGCATACAATATAGAGCAGGTAATCCAGAGCATAAACAATACCAGGCAGAGGTCAGGACAGGCGGCAACAATCGTAATCCAGAAGAGACAGGCAAGGGTCGGGGCAGGCAGCAAACAGAGATACAAAGTCAAGGAACAGTCAAGGGTCGATAAACAGAGAATCCAGATAAACACAGGGAAACCGCTCAGAAATGTCGCCGGGGCAAAACAAGACTTCGCCCTGATTGAGAGTCAGAGAGCAGCTTATATGGAGGGGTAAATGAGGAACACCTGTGTTGGTGATTAGACCTAGGTACGGGGCATTATGGGAAATGGAGTTTGTGGGAACCCTAGTCTTATCTGGAGTGCCCTCTGGTGGATAAATAGGGCACTCCAGCTGGTAACCGTTACATACACACACATGCTAGTATATATTTAAGAAATATTTTCATGTATACTGTATAGATTTATATATACTTTATATTATAGACATTTAAGTTAACCCTAGTTGCTCCAGAGGCATGCGACCTCTGATATATATAGCAATTGTAAGTCGCTTTGGATAAAAAAAAAAGTGTCAGCTAAATGAATAAATGTTAGTTTTAAAAATTATTAATAGCAGTGAAACAGAATTTTTTTCTTGTATTTTCAGGTAGTCTACAGATTTTAAAACAGATTTTAGAAAATGTAAATGGAGGACGTGAAGGCAGATCTGAATGTAAGCTTGCTGACATTTCTAAGTTTAACCAGGCTAAATGGATGGACAAGTCCTGAAGTTACCAGAGAGAAGTTATTATGCATTTAAATTACAAGGGTTAAAAAAAATTAAAAAGACATTGATGAATCGTTCACAAGATCAATTTAGAAAATAGTTGGGGGACTTTTCTTTTCATGCCGTCTTTAAAGGATTAACATCACAAGTAACAATCTATATAAATGTAATTTATTTAAATATAAATTGCCATGCAATGTGCCAAATTAATTTTTTGAGAAGCTCAAACTCACCACATAAAGTAAATAAACGTTTGTTTTTGTTTTTTTGAAAGACTTGTGAAGTCTTAGGAAGAATAAGTGTCCTTCCACCTGTCTTTATTGTCTTAAGTATCTCGATAAAATGAAAACTTTAAAGAACATGTTACTTACATAAAACAAAACAAGCTGCTAGTGATGGATGCGACGTCATTGCCTCTTCTATGCAGGGACCAAATTCAATTTTTCGTCTCTGAATAACTGTAGAAAAATGTTAAACATGTTAGACATATATCTTACTTAAGATACATTAAATAAAGAACCCGAGAGCGATTTAAAGGCCGTTATATGGGCCACAGTTTTACCGCATACCGACCCAACCCATATCAGTTCAAGGACAGTTTAGGTCAGATTTTTTTTTTCTTACTGAAATAATCGATAGGGCATCTGAAAACACAGGTGAATGGCATATAGCTAAAGGACAATGTTACCTCCAAGCCGATATATTTGGGCCGCTTTCTCGTCTTGCAAGTCAAGGCACTCTAGTCTCCTAAAAGATGAGAGTCGATGGAGATGCTGATGCTGCTGAGGAAGCCGCAGCTCCGCCGCAGTCACCGGATCCCTCCTGCATGCACGAAATGACTGTAAACCGAAAACTCTCCTTTGGGCGATTAACCTTGACTCTGACTAAAGCTGTGATTGTCTTGTTCGATATTTTCCCCTGTGTTGGGAACACAGGATATTTTGGATATTTTCCAAAAATAATTGGGAACCCTCTTCTCTTTAAACTGACATGCAGGCTATGGTTTGGCTATAGCCTAATTGTAAACACATTTTCAGACCTTGATAAGGCAGTGGAAACTCCTAAAAGAACCCCACAATACTCGTATGCTATATTTGGTCCGTAGGAATTTAGCCAGTCGTGGATGAGAGCGCGCAAATGATGACGCAGCAGATCTAAGAAATTGCGTGCTTGCCAGTGTTAAAATGTCTATCAGCAGATGTCGCTGTAAACAAGAAATTAAGAGCTCCCGTTCCGAGTCCTTAGGGCAGTCACTAACTCTCAGACCAAGAGATGCTCTGAGTTTTGTTTGCTTAAAGGATTAGTTCACTCCAGAATTCAAATTTCTTCATAATTTACTCACCCCCATGTCTTTCAAGATGTTCATGTATTTTTTTCTTCTGTAAAAAAAAGGAAATTTTAATTATGGTGTGTAGTTGTTAATTAATCCTTTAAGTCGAGGGGTGGCTTGCATATGCGATAATGCACAATTCTTAAAGGTGTACTCACCCCTAAATGCATTGAAGCAACTGCCATGTGATTGGTTGATTAGATAATTGCATTAGTGAGAAATTGAACAGGTGTACCTAATAATCTTTTAGATGAGTGTATGTCTGAAATAGACCTCAGCAGATTTTTGCTAAAAGAAATGGACACAGCGACCCCGTTGATTTCAACGGAGAGAGTTGAAGCCCAACAGGAGCACTCACTTCCTGATAGTCAAGCGTTCTGCGCAGGCTCAAACTGAGCTTGACGACATGTCATGTGAGCGAACTGACTGACAGTTGTAGTAAATCTTCTAGTAGCTGTGCCAAGAAAAATTTTAATCGTGCACAAAGACGGTGAACCGCGACCTGGAGCAACTTTTGGCAAGTATTCTGATTAAATATTTTGTCATTTTGCTTCTATCTATGCCATGGACTGACTTTAGACAGTAAAAGATTGCCTGCGAGGCTGTGCGAGCTTCTCCTCCTGTCTATACGGTAACTTCTCTACTGCGCGACAGACAGTCGAGTGGTTATGATGCAATTTTTAGCCTATTTTCACAAGAACGGCTTCTACGGGGCTATAACGTAACATACAAAGTAATGGAGCCATTGTCGGATACATTGTTGTGTTTCTTTAGAAATAAATAATGGACAAATGGAATCTTTGGACGTTATTCACTGTCAAAGTGACGCCAAAATGAATGGGAGTCAATGGGATGCTAACAGCAGGTGATAGCCAGCTACAATGGCGGCCCCCGGAGGCAGCTTCAACTTCCGGCTGATGGATTACCCCCTTGGTGACAACATGCTGACTGTTCCAAGATGGCGGGCGCACTGACGTGTTTGGAACATTTGGAGTGGCATCTACTTGCACAAAGCTATTGTTGAGCGTACATCGGTCGTTCACTCACTGGGATTGAATGAGTGCACTCGATTACGCCCACCATGGTTTCGGAAACCACAACAAATGACTGTCCCCTTGAATAGTGCGATTTTGGATACACAGCCCAGGTTATTCTCACACGTTGGAGTGGTCTCAGTCTTTGCATGCTGCCATCTATCGTACTGGAAGCGATAGTTGAGTACGATAGCTTATATGAGCTTAGAATATTTGGTTATATGGAGTTTTTTTAATGTCAAAACAAGTATATGTCACTATAAAAAAACAAATAATTAATGATTTATTTTTAAAAATTACAACCAGCGTCAGTAACAACACCGCCATACTCGTACTGGCCAGAAGCGTCCATCTCCATGACAACGCAAGACAACTAAAAGGAAGGGTTTCCCTCACGGCCTGTGAAATCGCTGAAGGTTGGAAATCTTCTTTCAAATTACAACCCTAACATTTGCCAAAATATGTCATAGTTGATAACTTCGCTAAGTTGTTTGCTATAATATAATTTGTACTGTTACTTGATCTATTTTTACTGTTGTAATTTTCATTTATTGTTTTTTTCCGGCAAATCATAATTAAGCGAAATTGTTAATAACGTTTCTATTTTTACCAGGGATTCAACGAATGATGGAGATGGAAAGTCCGCGTGTTGGTGTGGTGAGAGAGTCCATGCTGCATCGTCCTCTATTAATTAAGGTGATGTTGATGGATTTGACTACAAACAATGAACTAACTCTGTAAACTTATTTCTCTGCATAGCACCATATTAATTATTATACCGTTTTCTAACATAGCCTATATATTTAATAAATAATTAATATTTTGCCAAACAAATAATTCGTTTTTATGTGTTCCATAAATGAATTGGGGCACCATTCGTCTTCTTGTTTGCAAATAACAACGCCATAACTAAAATGACCACTAGGTGGCAGAATTAGTCTCAGAATAAATCTAACGATGACAGGAGCTTGTGATTTAGTGATTTTTGATTCATCGTTTCAACGTAATGTTCCTGGAATACCACAGCAGGACTGCACATTTCGGGTGTCGTTGCACTAATACCAAAAGCTAAAAATAAACCATGAAAGCTTCATAAAAGGGGTTTCTCAGTGATGCTGTGACCACCCAGAACATTTGGGTCTCGTACATTTTGAAGTATTTGTACTACAATGCCATAGAAGAACTTTCATTAAATTAATTTCACTGAAACTTTTTCCACTGCAAAGAAACTTTAGTGCAAGATAAATGTTCCATGGATGTTAAAGGATCTTCCAAGAACAATAGATGCCAACATAGAACCTTTATTTTTAAGAGTGTGCTGTACTGAGATTTGAGGAATGGTGTTAATATGCAAGCTAGTGTTTTTCTCTGCTTGTTCCTCTTTGTTAGACTCATCAACAGTCTCGAATCTGTAACTAAGTACTTCCAGCGTATCTTTCATCTAATTCTGCTTCATTTCAACTTCATCAAGTCTTCCACTGAAGCAGAAGGGAGAATGAAATGAACCTGCACAATCCTCAATGTTTCTCCTTTCCCCTCGCTCCCGTGGCCTTTCTCTCTTTTCACACTCATCCAATCATCCTGTCCATCCCTGCTGGGATAAGAGGCCTCTGTTAGACCTTTGCTTGCTCGCACCCCTCCTTTCTTTCTAATGTTCTCTAGGGTTATTTGATATGCCCCTTTTGACTGATGCAGAAAATAGGATTACTGTATTTAAATGACTATGATAATGAACTGCGTGCATGTTCCCATAGTCCCACGAGATCAAGGATTTCTCATTCTTTTTTATTGTGAGCAGTCATAGCTACAGGTTTTGGCAATGCGCTGGAACAATGACAGAGTCATCTGTGAGGATTTAAGCTTTTGTTCTTATGGCGTTGCCTGATGTTGCTCTATTTCTTCCATCTCGTGCATCTAGTTTTCAGAGCTGTAGGTTGGAACGTTCACCCTCATCCTCCTTCAATCAGCGGAGGCTGTCTTTGCTTGCTTGCTATGTAACTCGAGAGAAAAGGCTCATATTCATTAAGAAATAGGCCAACTGCAGCAAGTCCCCAGTGCTGAGAGCATCTCTTGTCGACCTGCACAGCAGTTCATCATCGCTGGAGTTTTCTCTGCTTATGCAGGCCTGATGTATGGCTGTCCCATGGGGAAAAGGGACATATATGGTGGTAATGTGCTAATGGGCCTCAAAGTGAAAAGGAGATGAATTAGTCTGCATCTACACTCTTAAAAATAAAGGTTCTTTATTGGCATCAATGGTTCCATGAAACTTTTAACATCCAGAAAAGGGGGAAAAGTTTATTCAGATTATTAAAATGTTCTTCACACACACAAAAGATTTGTTCAAGAACTATCCACTGAAAGTTTCTTTGCGTAAGCCAGAATCGTTCTTATGGCATCATTCGGAACTTTTATTTTGTGGAGTGTAGAAAAAAGCACCCAGAAACCCATTTTTTATTTGTGACCAAAAAGTTGGTGGTGAGAAAAGTATAAAAAAGGCCTCTCCTCTCCTCTCCTCTCCTCTTGTTAATTCCTTTTTGATGAGGCATGGACAATAAATCCTGTTTTCATGCCTGTATTCCCTGATGACCAGTAAATTAGAGATCAGGGGAGCAGATTTGGGGCTTTTGTTGTTCTCTGGTGTCTGAGAGAGACCTGCTGTGCAGCAGGCTGGCTGGGCCCTATTCACAGTCCCCTCTTTCCACTCATTACCATTCACTTCATTCAGCCTATGTAGCTAATGTTAGACACAGCAATCTGCGGTTCATTCTTAAGTAATTCTGTACTGTAGCTGATATTTGCCTGCAACGCAAATATATTATGTATATGTGGTCTGGCCTAAAGCTGTTTTTGCCTCAATTAAACTTTAGCATATACAATTAAAAATATACATTTTGAAGGCTCAGGGTGCTTTAAAAAGCATTACCAGAGTGGGAGATTTGTCAAAAGTAGCTAAAAAATGTATACAGTTACCTACTGACTTTAATTGGCCACTGGAATTTATTTGAATTGCAAAGGAACTGGCCCGGACCTTGACCTTCACCCCCCTCAGCTGTTCATATAGGCATCTACAGTTAGGCCTATACGAATACAGTGCCTCATAAGCACTCCCGGTTGCAACACAGGCCCTTATTATTAATGTGATCCAGCTGGGAACACTGTAGACACGAGCACAGAGAGATAGATACATAACCATGAACCCAATACATAACTGTAAAGTGCTTGCATATTAGATAAATGTAAATGAGATATGTAAAGAGACCTTTGGCATATGTGGTCTGTCAAAACACGGCTGTATGCATTCATTTATGGATTAAGACAATGAAAATGCATATATCATTCTTGTCCATGTTCAGTTGTAGTGCTAACTAATTATGTTATCTATATTTACTAACAGCTGAGTCGAATACAAATAAGCAAAAATCCTTAAGGCCAAAATCCCTAAAATCCTTAAGTTCTTAATGCCAATTCACAAGGATGATGTCTATAACGATGAACGATAACGATTAAAAATTGTCCTAAATATAAAGAATAGCAGCCCACGCCACAACTATAATGATAATAGCAGAGAAAGATATCCTTTCAGAATGATTCTTCTTCTGTTGAAGATAAAAAGCATTGACAGCCAATCAGAATCCATCCTGCTTTAGAGCTTGAGCAAAGCAGCGGACAACATAACTGCAGTGCGCGCTTAGAATAAACAGAACCGATATATAGTTTATATAGTTATCTTTTTTGTTCTTGGTGTGAAAGGGTCTTTAGTAATGTCATCATGTTGGTTTCAAATGGGTTTAAAAAACTTTTATTCTATTTTTAAAAGAGATTCAATTTAATGAATTTTCAGCAGCCATTACTCCAATCTTCGGTGTCACACGATCCTTCAAAATCAGAAATCATACTAATATGCTGATTTGCTGCTCAGGAAGCATTTATTATTATTATTATTATTATTATCAATGTTGAAAACAGTTGTGGTGCTTAATATTTTTTTTTTTTCAAAATTCTAAAGAACAGTATTTATTTGAAATAGACATTGTAAATGTCCTCACTGCTTTTTTGATCAATTTACTTGACCTCGCTGAATATTAATTTCTTCTTAACAAAGTGTTACTGACTTCATAGTTAAAAAAAAAGTAGTGTTACTGACCCAGTTGCATTTTATTTTTAATTGTCTATGTACAAGTTTAGTCCAGCTTTAGGACAGCTTGAATTCTTGGACATGTCTAATTACTGTACTGCTTATTCACATGGTTTAAACACAGTTTGTGATCCATTTTTCATTAAACACACCCACACGTGCATACATACATCTAAAGAGGTAGGATAACACTCATCTGTATTGAAGAAGGGTAGCACACGCTTGCCCAGACACATGCTCCCAATTAGCTGGCCCTCTTTATGGAAATGCCTCATCAATTATACCCAAAGCTTCAGGATTTGCCACACATAAAGAGAGTTAGCATCTTAATAACCAGCCAGACTATAGAGGAGATGAATGTGCGTGTATGTTTGCATTGCACATATGCGCACATTGACATTCTGGGGATTTTAGAAGTGGGCTGATATTAATTTAGAGTTGAGAAGAGAAAAGCTGTGATCCAATGAGAAAGTTAGGGTTATGATTCCACTTCCTCTCCTCTCAGCATATTGGATATAATCCTTATAAATAAATGTGTTTTTAGCTTGACATTTCCCAGATTCCCTTCTAGTCCATTTTGACCATGTTTCCCTCTGTGCTTCTTGATGACTGTAAGCGACTGAATTCTCTCCCCATGAATTGTATCAGATCACACAGCAACAAAGATACAGATTCTTTCCCAGCTTCACTTTCTCTCTGCCATTCATTTCCTCAATTTATCTTAGTTGAGATGAAGAGATTAATTTTAAGCCAATGTGCCCGCCGTCCTGTAATCAGGCACCAGATGGCGCTCAACTGAGCTGGAAGAGCGGGACAATAATTAGTGGAGATAGTTCGGTGAGCATTAGTGCCGTTATCCTCTAATCATCATGATGGGCACATTTACTTGTAAGTCTGACAGAGGAACTCATGGCAAAGCTGTCTGTCAATGCCGATGAGATGAGATGATCAGGCCTGGCTCACGATTCTCCGTGCCGCTGCCTGACAAGATTAAACTGGTTCCACTGGGACAGCGCAAAACTAGTAGGTCTTGGACAGGAGGTGCAGACCAGTTTTATCCAGAAGCATCCTCTCTGAAATGTGTGTAAATCTAGTAGCCAGGCTGTCAGGAATGATGTCTAAGTGAAATTCAAGAGAAAAAACACATGGAAATACCACATGGTATTCGACAACATCTGAGAAAATGCAACGTGTGCAAGTGTTCATTGCAGCGATAGACTCTCAGGGTCAGCGCTAAGCTAATCTCAGCAGCTCAAGCGAAATCCTAAAAGCACACATGAGCAAGAGAGACACAAAAGGACGGTGAAATTAAAGCACGGGTGCCTGAATGGACTGAAGGGGTCTCCTTAGTAAGAGATGATTATGTCCCCCTGTTCTCTGTCTCTTTTAGCCTGTGCGAATAATCTGCTCCCTCTGACCCTCGTGTAGCCTCTCCTGAAGCCGCCCTATTCTCATGCCGGCCTCTGGTTCATTCAGCAGGTCCATGCCTGGTTAATGAAAACACAATGCAGAGACAGATCACCAGTAAATGACAATATAAAAGGAGCTTTTGCTTAACATAATCCTTCGCCCGACTTGCCTTTTCTGTTGTCCCCTTCTCTTTCAGCCCTTTTATTGTGAATGAAAGGCCCAATAATGTTTTGAGGGGTCTGATTAGCCGTTTTACGCCAGCAGTCAACACGTTCCTTCAGGCATCTCTAAGTGATCTCCCTCAAAACAATCTGCAGATTAAAATTGCGAAGGGGATTAAAGGGCTGGCCGAGAAGCCTGGTGGCACTTACTCAAAAGATTGGCGCTTTTAAGAAACGTTTGATACGTTTCAGCTGATGTGTTAACTAGGGGTTGGGTGTCTGTGAGTTAAAAAGGCCCAAAAAGATTTAGGATCTCTCAATTTGGTCGCACTTGGGGAGAGAGACGAGTTTGGCAGTTGTATTCGCTTTCTGGAGGGCTTTACTTGCCCAGCATGATTGGTGGGGGTCCAGTGACAAATATCTTTTAAATCCATTTTTCAATGTAGACTATTCAAAGCTCAGAATGAAGGATTGAGGGTTTTTAAACAAGAATTAAGTCTTTAGAACACTGCAAACACACAGAGATCTCCAGAGATGATGACAGACTCACCATGCTAATTCGTTTCTCCTTCCAAAAATCGCATACGGCAGCATGAGGAGAACCGCCGACATTAATGTAACTCTGTGACTGACACATGAGCACACCTCCCTCATGTTCCATCAAAGATCAAAGATACGTGCTTCTGGAAATCTCAGGCACCATATTCCACAGATCACTTTTGATACATACGGTTGTCACCTTTGCCGTGGTTTGATTCTCAATTTTCCACCTTTTCGAAGCTAAGCTGCTCTTAAAACTCGGCTTTGAGCTGTTTAACAGAGCTCAGAGAAAAACACTGGGCTTTTCTTTTGCCCCACGAGAGAATTGTTTTGAGTAGATGATGATAGGGGGTAAATCCCCACACCCAACCCCCACAACACACACATGGCAGGATAAGTGTTGCCTTTTTCAACTCTTTAGCTGTCAATCATCTTACAGTTATGACTCTGGAGACATAAATCATACTTTACATGAACTGACTGCTGGACTACATTATACTAGTGATTCAGACTGAGACCTGACTGAGGAGATCAACCATCAAGATCACTCGCATCAACGTTCAATGGGAATTTGTTTTTACTGAGCTGCCAGACACCGCAGTCATTTGGGCTTCTTTTGCGGCATGTTTTATGGTAATAATTTTATGCATAATTATGGTTTTTATTAATAGACGCAATCAGACGCTTTCTGTGTGCTCGAATTTGAAGATATGGGTCGAAAAAACGCCTGTCAATCACGAAATCAGCTGCCACTCTAGAGGTCCATGCAACTTTGACATTGTGATGCATGCACTGTCGTGTGACGTTAAATGCTTCAGTTTAACGGCACTTTTACTGTGGTGATTTAATTGATGCTGATTGACAGTTTGATTGACAGTTTTAGGTTCAGAAAAACATTGTTCTGAAAACAAAACACAGCTACTGTTCTCTGTCAGAAAACACACACATAAATTGGACTTTGGAGAGAAAAATAGATGCAATTAAATGTATTTACACGTATTTACATAAATAGAATTAGCCATGGTGAAGCTTCCAGCACACAGTGAACAAAATGTAATAGCCTACATAGCAAGACATAGCAAGACATAAAACAAAATAGGTGAAACTAGAAAAAAAACTAATAACACATGTACACAAGCGGAAAGATACAAATATCTGTATCTATAGATACAGTTATGCACGGGAATGTGAATAAGTAAAGTGGTTGGATGTCAAATAAATATAAGTAAATAGTGTGTGTTGGGTAATTCATGTTTTTTTAATCAGTATTGCACAGAGAACTTGGGGGATTTTAAGTGTTCATGAGGTAGATGGTCTGGGGGTAGAAACTTTTCCCTGGTGCCTTATTTTGAGTATTAAAATACATGCCTTTAAAATATGTGCCTTTTATACATAACATGAAAACAAAAAAAACATAAGGAAATTCATGAATTCATCAGTTCTGTTTGTTCTCTATAGCCAGCTCTTGGAAAGGCCAGGTTGAGAGGTTTGTCCTGTCCAGGACCTGACTTTGTTTTTGGGATGGCGACCACAGTTCAGGATGGAGGAGTGCCAGAGGGTAAGTGGCAAAACAATTTTGCAAAATTGCCATGCCACTGGAGTAGTTCTAAATTTGCCTTTCAAACTTTAATACGGTTGGCTGTATATTGAAGCTAAATATCCACTAACTCAAAACCCTTTGTTTATGAGACACCACACCCGTTCCCCATCAACTCTTGTCACAGGATGATGTCACAGTGCGTTTTCTTGAGTAAGTGTCCCCTCAGGCACTTAGCCTGTGCTGTCTGTGCGCTCCTGTTAGCATACTAAACTGTGGCTGGCTTCTGCACTGGCTCCCGTCTCACACTTTAATTATGCACTTCCAACGGACGACAGGCAGTGACTGCAAGTGTCAAGCCCTCATACAGTCCCATGAACTATGATGAAGTTACCCTGTCATGCTTATCGAAGCTTACTCATCACAAATCCTAATGTAACTATTATTTCAGAAAACACCCAAAACTGATCTCTACTTAGTTTTGAACATGTCAATCAGAGCCCTGCTGGAGCCTATGCCTACTGTTATTTACCTGGTGCCAAAGGAAGGTGCCGCCAAGTCACTAATGCCATTGAACAGTTTTGTGATTTCTCTTGTTGATCTGTCTATGGCTGTGTCTAATAGTTATTGCTAATATTTCTAACTGAAGTGTTCCGAAGAAGGTAGAAGTATATTTCAATCATGACAACTCTCTGAATGAATTTAACCAGCATTTATTAATAAACATGGATTGTATATGGTCTTGGACTAGATCTGCTACGCCTGCTGCTGGATAAGTAAGGATACATCTAAAAATGCACATGAAAACAGTGAATTGAGTTCAGGCTGCTCCCCCTTTTAAGTGAACCAGCCACTCACAAGAGTTTCATGTCTGAATTATATGTAAAAAGTTACCAATTGAAGTCATTTTAATTAAGTTGATTCAACTTTTCACATTTTATAGTGTACTCCACTTATATAGTATACAGTTTCTAGTCATCCTGAAGACCTTGTATACTATATAAGTGGAGTGGTTCAGGTTTTTAATTAAGGCTTCAGCTAAACTCTGCAGGACAAGTCCTTTGGTACACTAAAATATTACTTATGTATTAAACCAGTTGCCACACTGCAAGAAAAAGTATATTTTTCCTTGAGTAATTTGTCTTTTTTTTTTTCAAGTGAAAATATCCAGCATTTTAACTGTCATTATCCCGGTAGCAAGACAGTTGGCTGACTATCACATATTTTAATAATCATCATAAATTAGATATTGTTCGAGCACTCAAAATTCATTCTTTGAAAACTCTTTTGAAATGACCATGGAAAAGGTACTTTAAAACCTTTCAGTGGGCTTACATTTTTGTTATCAACTTTGGAACACAACTTGGTTAGACATATTATTTTGATTTTCTTGAAGTTCAAATGTTTTTGTAAAATATATATTCTGTAAAAAATGTTTAGTTTAGTACACTTGCTTT